TCCTGCTTATGCAGGGGGTCGGACTCGATGATCTATTGAGGTTGCTTCCGACCCTAACATCTATGAATCTATCTATGAACCACTCCCCCCGCCCTCTTTGGCAGAGCCTGCCTGCTCCATGGCGGGGGGCCCTGGTGCTTCATTCTAGTTCTGACTTGCCTGCATATCTGTTTCAAATGCCTCAGGATCTATAATAATAACACTCTTATTCTTTCTGTCCAGAGCACTCTGATTGGTTGTTTCAGTAAGCATTGTGATTGCCTGCCGAGACAACCAATCAGAGTGCTTCAGACAGGCAGACTAAGCCTATTATTATTATAGATTCAGTTGATAGGCTACCACCTCTCTACTAAATACAATTATAGCATTTTTTAAACAAGAGATAACATCCACTTACTCCCCCCACTATCCCCATTCCTGTAGGTGAGAGGCTCACTCCATAGTTTTACTAGGGTGTCTTCCCCACAGTGGCTGGTAAACCACTAGGGTTCTTGAAAGTTCTCCAAAGAATTTCTACTATAGTGCAGGGGTAGGGATGAGTCCTTGTAGCTATAAGATGGGGAAAAGTTCCTTGATTAATTATGTATCATTTACTCTGATTTCTTTGCAAATCAGAATTGCTGAGTGACTTCTGATGACAGTCTATATTCTCCTTTAGTTAATTCAATTCCTAATTCCAGAACTCTGCTTATGAAGTCTGGAACTGCTGATATCATCCAGGATCCTGAAGCTTTAAGCATCTGGAGCAGAGCTCACAAATTTATGGGGCTATGCACATACAGAGACACAGCTCTATGAAAACACTTTAGAGGGTTCAGTTATTATTAGGCCAGGTCAACACCACAAACTCCTCATGGACTTGTTATGGTACCCCAGTACACCTATACCAGGAAAGCCTTCTGTAGTGTAAATCTGGCCTTAGTTCTTTTTCCTGATTCCTGGTACTGCTAGCAACAGTACTGCTGCCAAGTGTTGCCTTTAAAAAGGATGTTGGCAATTTCTTTAAAAAGGCCACCACACTACATAGTGTGATATGCTGTGTATGATTCATGAAAAGGCCAGAGGGTGTCTCAGTCATCCATTCTCCCTTGTCACAGGTGCTGTTTCACTAATGTAATCTTTTTAAGAAGTACAATTATAGCCATGATAATTCAAGCATGAAGTTTCTGAGTAAAAGGAATTTTAAAAGAGAATCTCTTTGGAAACTCTCAAAAACCCCAAAATGAGAACAGTGTTTTTGTATAAGGATGTACCCTTTCCAAACTTGAAGGTAAAATTTATTCTGTTTTTCTGAAAGTAAACAGTTACCTTATTTTGTGCATCGGTGTCAACACCATACTCAAACCACTCTAGCTAGTGATATATTAGGAATACAGTCAGCAAGGTGAAGGGCAGTATTGCCATCAACATCAACAAGATTAGGGCCTGTGCCATGTTCTAGGAACAAATTTGCACATATTTCCTGTTGGCATTGTACTGCCTGTAAAGGTAACACAAAAAGAGGGAATAAAGTTCTAGAAGTTAAAATTTACCTTACATAGAATTATTACAAATAACTGAAAATTTGAAAGTAAGGAAGATAAATTTAAACATATTAAGTAGCATACTTTATACAAAAGCTGACACCAACCTATATTCCTATATTAAATAATAAATATCTTGTAATTAACTAGAAATTAATACTGGTACATCTGACATAATCATAACAAGTATTGTACATACCTTCATTAATGGTGACCTGCTATCATTGTCACAGAGATTTAACTTGCACTTGTTCTCAGTGATTTAGATCAGGATGTGGGGGGCTGCCTGCTGCCTATCCCCACACTTTAGCACCCTTGTGTTCCAGCTAGCTCTTCCACTGCCCAATGCTGCCACTTAGAGCCTGGGGTTGACCCCCTGAGCCCCCTGCCAGCCTGGAGCTGCTCCATCCTAGCTCAAAGTGCTGTGGTCCAGGGCACATGTGTAGAAGCTGTGCCAGGGAGCAGCTGCCTCTGGAGCAAAGTGCACTGGAATTTACATCCCGCTGTACCTTACCATGAACATTGCTTTCACATAGTGGCTGCTTACACATATTCAGTTTCTCCGAAGAGAGTGTATGGGTGTTCAGGATTTTCTTCCAGGGTAAAAATGGAGAAAAAAAATAACTTGGCAACAACCAAAGTTAAATTGCTCCCATGAGGGTTTCTCCTGAGGGAATGAACTGTACATATTCTCTTCTGAAAAATCACAACACAGTTCTCCAGCATCCCAGGGAGCCCTGCTCAGGTGATAAAGGTGAAGAAAATGAAGACTAGATCCAGCTGATGCTCCAGGAGGTGCTGTTGGATCTGCTAAGGTGTGGATTGCTGGCTCAAAAACAAGCTGGCTCAAAAACAAGCATGGACTTGTCATAAAGGCTTATGCTGCAGACCTAGGATAAACAGAAGCAGCAGAACTTCAAGATGATAAAGGCCACTTTTGAAGGAATCTGCATTAAGCTTACCCTAGATCTGTAGAGAAAGCACGTTGATAGAAAACTTCCCCTTGGCTATAAAGCAGAACATGGCTATCTGCATCTCAAAGCTTACTATCTTCACTTGTACAGATCTGTTACAAAATCTTTTGGTATAAACAAATTAACCACAGGGCTATAGCAACAAAGACATGTATTGCCATTATCAAGATACTGCTGCTGTGTGTAATAAAATTTGCAATTCCTCAGATTCTGGAAGGTTTTGCAAACATGAGATTTCTCATTTGTACTAGACAGTTGTTGGAATCCACACTTATCAACTACTGCCAAAACTAATGAAACTCTAACAATGACCATCTAGACCAGCATTTCTCAACCCAGGGGTCACAACCCAACAGTAGGTCATGAGAACATAAGAAAGGGTCATGAACAAACATTAAAAATTGAGTTCTCCTTTAAGGGGGAGTTCTCGCCTGCAAAGGGGTTGCTTGGGGTCCCCCATGACCTCCACACACCCACCCCCTGCCCCACACACTGAGGGGTTAGGGCGTAGGGGCAGGGGACCAGTTGGGAATGATGGACACGGGGCTGGGACTGGCAATTGATGTTTACAAGTGGGTCCCGATACAAAAAAAAGGTTGAGAACTGCTGATCTAGATCACAGAAAAGAACTGTTACTTTAGTGATTCTCAACCCTTTAATGCTCAAAGCACCCCTTGCTAGACAAAAAAAATACCAGATTTTTGTTTTTACTCATTTTGGACTATAGAAAAATAACAGAGCATTTGTGTTGTTAAGAACTCAGAAATATCACATCAGGTCAATATATTTTAATGCTATTTGAAGTATCTGGGTTTATTTTGTGAATCATTTTTGCACACCTAACTAGAGTCACAGTACTCTGGTAGAGAATCACTGTATTAACTATTGCCCAAAGCAGCTGCAGGGTGACAGCAAAGTATACCTTTGGAGATGAGAACCTAACTGGTGGGTGCCTGGTCTATGATGTGGAGTACCCAAACAGTTTCTTACTTTGGCTTTTAACTGGATGCTGTATTTTATACAACGTTGATGACAGCTAGCTTGCTGAAGCCTGGCAGACAGAGACAGAGACAATGGCAGCTTGCAAGCCATTCATTCCCAAATGACAAGTCAGAGGCACCTTGCCCCAGAGGCCTTGTGCACCTATTTTGAGGAAAGGGTTTGATCTGGCGCTTTTGGGATGCTGGCTACAACATTCTGCTTCTGGAAACATGTATGTGTGTGTGTTTTAAATATTAATCAGGTGCAGGTTTCTGCATGGTAGACACAAACTGATCTTCTCACGTTCTTTGGCCTACAGGGACTCTGCTATGCAAAGGGTGACCATATGTTCTGGTTTGGCCAGGGCAGTCCCGGATTCAGTAGGCTGGTCCTGGCCAGTTGGCCAAAAGTCCTGGGCCAGAGTCCGGAAGGCAGGTGGAACAGCATGGTACACCAGGCAGGTGGGTGTCCAGGCACCACTGCTGCTGTTTGGAAGCAAGGAATGTAGGGAGCTCGATACTCCATCTTAGATAGGGTGACCATTACATCTGCCCACCATGCTTCCATACAGCTGCAGTGGTGCCAGCTCACCCACCCACCTGCCTGGCACACCATGCAGCTCCACCTCCCTGCTGTACTCCAGCCTGGGATTTTTGACCAATTGGCTGGGACTGGCCTACAGAATCTGGGACTGTCCCAGCCAAACTGGGATGTATGGTCCCCCTAGCTACGCATGATTTCTAGTTTAATAACAGTATACACCCATACAAATCACATGCTTTCCAAGGGTTTATATTGTTCTATCTTTTTGGTTTATTTGACCACTTTTAAATTTGTCAGATAACTGCATGATGGAAGACAATAAACCATTTCCTAATTTTTCTGAAAAGTGTAAACAGAAAATGGAAACCACAACAAGGCAGTGAAGGCTGTGGACAGAGGTTGGCCCAAAGCAGATGGGGAAATGAATATAATTTGAAAATCTGTAGGCTTAAGAGAGCACAAGGCCTAGACAATGACCTCAAGCTCTTTGCAATTTAGAGTGCCATGGCAGTAGGCAGGAATTGGGTGTTCATTTGTATTTCAATTCTTACCATTTTCTCGACTATGGCCAGCTCCTCAGTTCAAGTCAGCCTCCCTTCCACGAATTTGAAGCTGTTGGCCTTCTTTTTGAGGAATCCTCTCTATTCCCTTGTCACCCTTTCATTCTTTATGTCTCTATAATGCCGCTAACCCCTAATCCTTCATGCCCTTTCTCTGAATTCTTGGAGTTCACCAGACACTGAACCATTATTAGTGGCACAGTAGCCTTGAGGGTGTAGAAGTTGATAGATTACAAAGAGTCCAGTGGAAAGCAAGAAAAATTATTAGAGGCTGGGAAACACGACTTGAAAGGAAAGGCCAAAAGAGCTAGGATTATTTAATTTGGAGAAGAGAATACTGAGTGGGGATTTGTTAACATCCAAACCTGAAATGTTTTATAAAGAGGATGGAGATAAACTGTTCTCTGTGGCTGCAGGAGATGGGACAAGAACAATGGTCTCAAAATGCAACAGGGGTTATTTAGCTGGATATTAGAACTTTCTGACTATGAGGGTGGTGAAGCACTGGAACAGGCAACCCAGAAACACTGTGGGATTTCTATCCTTGGAAAATTTTTAAGAGCAAGTTAGACAAATGCTTGACTGGGATTCTTTTGTAAGGGATGGTCCTGCCCTGAGCAGGGGGTTGAACTAAATGACCCCCTGTTGCTCCTTTCAGACCTATTTTTACATGTTCAGACCTTGGAAAGCAAGACAAGTAAAATGCACTGATTTGTTCATTGTTCAGTTTCCATGGTTTCAGAAAGAGAGGCTGTTTTTCATCCCTATATTTCTGAGATACCATCTCCAGACTCTTTTCTCCATTTTGGGAGAAAAAAAAGTATTATGAAGCTTTCTTTCATTCTTTTTAACACATGCATGTATAAAGCATCAAAGGCCATCTAGTACTGTACTCTGGTGGTTTGCTTACATTACTTCTGCATGCTCTGCATGTTTAATAAGGGGGGCAGGGCTTCCCATGGGGCAGAATTTTGAAGCTGGTAGGCTTTGGAGCTTAATGCTGCTCTGGTAGTTTGGTTTGCTGTATGTGTAACATTAACAAAAAGCTACTGCGTTTGTGGGTAGAAAGGCTAATCAAGAGAACTGGTGAGACCAGACTAGTGAGCAGATTTGTACTTCTGAAGGAGCAGTCCTATCCTTAGAGGATGTCTCTTGCTCTTGTAAAATGCTAGGCATGCATTACTATTCTCCATGGGGATGATACCTCCAGAGGCAAGTAGGCATATTTATTCAGGAACTGAAGATAAGGCAGTAGGCCTGGAGTGGAAGAGCTCTACTATATCACACTCTGCATCTCAGATTCATTGAATCTTTTTATTTCCCTGCTGGATATGCTAAAAAAAGTTTAAATGTAGAGGTGACATCTGCTCTCTGTGAGCATGGAGCAATAGAGGCCACATGGTACATGGAGTAACCAGTTCAGGAGAGGGTAGAAAACAGCGTGGAAAACAATTTCATAGACTGGGGTAGGGAAGCACAGACACAAACCCTGCACTGCAATTTACTAGGTCCAAAGAAAATCTATGTGGGACTGAAATATTATAAAAATCCACTGCATTTGCAGAATACCATGCAACATTTTAGCCTTTCCTGCTGCCTCTGTTATGGTCACTCCCCCCTCGCCATTCCAGCAGCCAGGTGGGGGGATGGGGCCAGATTCTGGCAGGGCCCCTTAGGCGGGGGGCAGGGAGTGGGGCTATTCCCCTTTAGGCACCCAGAGCACCACAGTGAGGTCTGCCTACCCTGACTGTTGCAGCTGCCACTCAGTCCATGCTCAGGGCAAGCAGCGGAATAAGCCCCCTCCACCAGATGCTGGAGAGAGGCGGGCAGAAGGAGGCTTATTCCTCCACATGTGGAGTGGTGACAGCACAGGGTGCTGGGTGGCAGCAGTGGCCACTGTGTACGAGTTTCTTCCGTGCCCCGTCTGGCCAGCCAGCTGGAAATAGAGTATTCCAGATAGTAGAAAGCCAGTTAATACAGCTTATACTCTACATAGATTCAGGTTTATCTTAAAGCATGTTCCGCAATTTTTAGACCAGTTTGTGTGCATAGAACTTCTGTTCAGTTACAGGTTTAGACTTACTTCTAGTCACTGAGACTGGGTCTATAAGTGTAAGGCCAGCACCGAGACAAACTAAGTTTAAATTGGAGGCAATTTTTAACCCAATTTAACCTTCCAAATGTCTATATTTAGG